ATTGACAGTTAAAACTGACTTCTTTCTTAGAAACTTTTGTCAAATGACATTTTTATTTCTATCTTTCACCGTTTAAAATAAAACAAGAAGAGTTTGATGCAAATGTTTGGTTTCCATTCTTGGTTGGTACGGTCACATGTCTCTGAAACACTTCAGATCCAAAATGCAGCCTATTCTGTGGATCCTGGAAGTAAACATCCAGGTTTACTAAAATAAAATGAAACATCAACATGACAAAAAATGATACAAAAAGTAAACCTGGCAAAATGATTGAAAATGTTTCATTTTTAACTCTAAATTATACTTCTTAAAAGATAATTAATGTGGTGTTACAGTAAGAGAACACTGAATTTGTGTTTCAACGGTGCTATATTTGATAAAACTAAGAAAGTGTGTATTTGTATTCATATTTAGTGTTTTATAGTAAAATAAAAAATGTGTCACAAACCAAAGAAACAACAGATACATCTGTGCACGTTTGACTTTGTTCTGTTGGCCTTTTAGCTTCAGTTTGGTATAATTACTGGGATTCAGATGAATTAGAGCTTTTGGATGTGTAAAAATGTTCCAGGTGTCCTGATAGAGCTCTGGTGCTCGAGGATCCATCTACTGGTACAAGTTTGCCACCAGGCATATTCTTTCCTTTGGTCAAGTTGAAGCGTCACCTCCCTGACAGCTGTCTGGAGTGGGAGGGGGCTGCACCTGAGCAGGAGTGCTGAAGTGTGTGTGTGTGTGTGTGTGTGTGTGTGTGTGTGTGTGTGTGTGTGTGTGTGTGTGTGTGTGTGTGTGTGTGTGTGTGTGTGTGTGTGTGTGTGTGTGTGATGCAGAGAACAAGTGCATGCTTCTCAAGACATTTTTCAAGATCACTGGAGCATTTTCACTTCTAATGGCCAAAGGCGACAGTGGTCCAGCAGCGGTGGAGGCGGGCGGGTGTCTGGACTGAGCATGTGCTGCTGCTCCACATCCAGCATCCCTGAGGTGAGGGATGGGTGAATGGGCTCAGCAGCAGCGGATTGAGACCCTTACCTCACACACACACACACACACACACACACACACACACACACACACACACACACACACACACACACACACACACACACACACACACACACACACACACACACAGCCTCTGGTGTGTCTGATGGATGGTAGAGTGTTGTAGCTCGCCTTGCGTTGTGACAAGCAGCAGATGTTCTCCAATAATGTTTATCGGCTGGGCCTTCATCTTCAGATGACACACACCTGTTTCCAGTCAAACAGGCTAAGAGAGGCCATCCATCCACTGGGATCTGGGTGGCCACTTCACCTCCACACACACCGCTGGGTTAGCAGTGACACAAGTGACAAACTGGCATCCCAAAGTATATTTAGATCATCAGATAGTGGGCACCAAACCTTATATATGCTTACAATTGTAGTCCTAATCAGGGTGCAGGCTGAGCGGTGGAGTGTTTTATTCTGATTTTGGAATCAGCTCAGACATCATTTAGTTTAGCTACAATCTTAAAAGCCCCATTTTCTTTTAATCCTGACCATCTGTGAAGGAAAAGAAGAAGTGGTCTTTGCGCTGAAGGATTGTTGGAAGAAATAATAAAGCAGTTTGCTTATCAGAAGAAAAAGAGGGGTGCAGGAAACTGCTGATGAAATAACCCATGAAAAGTGAGATTTTTTACTTTTTTTCTCTTTTTATTTCAAACAAATAAAACAAAACATATAGTAACTTCCAACTTAAATAACTTATCACAACCGTAATTGTTCGAAAAGGAATAGGAAGAAGCATAGCTCATTTCACCTATCCCTAAATCAATTTACCCATACTTAAAAAATTTAAAATATCAGAATACAACAACTTCTGAACACAATCACAACACAACAACTCCAAAGTATCAACATCAATTACAACAACATTAATATATATATATATATATATATATATATATATATATATATATATATATATATAATCACTACAGTGCATTTACAAATTAGTGATCCTCTCGTCTATAAAACAATTAATTCTTTATAAAATTTCTTAAATTGCACTATATTTAAACTTTCTTTGATTCTTTCCTCCAGATTGCATCACAGGTATTTTTTTGGCCATAATTAAGCATATGCCACTTTATGTTTATTTATTTATCACTAGTTTTTTTTTCTGCCATAGCTTCACGTTCCAGAGATAATTGTTGCCTCTCAGCGTTTAACCAGATCTCCCAGAGGGCCTCTGTGTTTTGAACTCCTGCTGACAAATGCAGTGTGCTCAGATAAAGAGACGATGGGGACAAGGGGAATCGGTTCAACGGGTCTCGCACCATTTGTGTGCTCGTTGGCTGAAAAAATAAACCTTAAATGTTGATGAGTGCCAAAAGATGCATATCAGGAAACTCTCCCACACTTTGGATCTGCATTTTGCTGAGGGTGAAATGTTGGTTTGCACGTGTGAAGCTTTTGAAAAAGGAAAAAAATACAAGTGTGTTTTGTGAGATGTGACATATTCCTTTGGTTCTGAAGACTTTGTTCGGTGATCATTTGCCTGTTGCACCACTAGGTGGAGCTGTTTGCAGGAAATAGGCTTTGGAAAGAACTTTAAACTTTGATCCATGAATGAGTGGCCCAGACTATATTAACATTAATACAGAAACAGTTGCACTAAACTCCTCCTTATGTTTTAAAATCATAGTTTGTGGTTCAAACACAGAGCTGATGAAACACTGAGCTATTTTCTAATCTAAAATAATCTGAGATGTTAGTGGCTCAGCCACCACGCCTGCGCTGATCAGAGTTGTCATATTAAAACCATGTGCACAGCTGCTCTGCTCAGCCTCGGTCTGTTCTCTGGAACTGTACTGATTATCCATCAATAACACTAATGACCCGTAGCTTCCAGAGACAAAAGCAAACAGAGCAACAAAGCCACAACTTTAAACTCTGCTGCAGAGAAAAAGAAAATGGGGGTTCACGTGCACGGAGAAAGTGCTGTAGGTATTATAAATGCAAAACAATATTTAACTGGTATGTGTTGATTTGCGAAGTTTCCCCACCCAAACACACTCCCACTCCTGTCAGCTGTTGGTAAATACTAGCCTCCTCCATTCCTTCCTTTATGGACACCCTCATACGTCCATCCTCCAAACCATTTCCCCTTGGTTTCTGACTCCGCATGGGTGCCAAGTCAATCAGCGTTAGAGCTGCCAGCTGCAATGGCCTTCCTCTCCAGGGGGTGTGATGTATGTTCCAGCAGGGCGAGTGGGTGCGTGCCACACAGGGACGACTGTATCATGGGCGGGTGGCAGAGGAAAGGAAGGAAGGGCTGGAGAAAAGAAAAGACAGCGGCTAAACGGGAGCTGTAATGAGGCCTGATGGATTCAGAGGTTGTGCCAGCTGCCCCATTAGCTGAGTGGCTCCAAACCCCCATGATGCTCTGCCCACAGAGTACCCATCAGACCACAGGCGCACAGCGGAGGGACTCGGCAGCTTGGGGATACGGCCCCTCTGGGACACATGCAAACACATCAAGCACATTGCAATGGCTGAATTATAACTCTTCATCTGACATCCAGAGTTCTGCTGCTCACACCCTACAACACAATGAACCTTTTGTGAGAGTTAAAGGTGGCAGCTTCTCTCAAAATGTTAATGAAATGTTTTAAAAAGTTGCTATTTGCTGATTTTACCACCTTCTGTTATGTTTTAGGGGTGTGAAGAAGCTTTTAAAAAGCAAATTGTGTGGTTTTGGTGATGTCATCATGTGTTTACTAAATCTTTATCTTTAGTGTGATTGTTGAAACCTCATCAAAAACTTCCCTATGGTTCTCTTGTGGGGAGATGTTTAAATCCAAATGTCCTAGATTCACAGTTTGGTAATAAATCCAGTCTTTAGTGGAGCTGTGAAGCGAGATGCTTCCGGGATGCGCCTAAAACGTTCCACGCCACGTCCATTGTGGATCAACACATTGCCTATAATGACATCCATTTGAAGCGGAGACGTACCACCGTAATGTGCCCCAGACTCTACTGGTGTGGATTGGGGTTACATCGGTTTACGTCTCCTGAATTTATGATAACGTAACATCATGTTGATGCTTATTACCACAGGTCCTAGAGACGTGAACTAGTCTACTGGAGTACTTGCTGCAGAAACAAGGAGCACTTGGTTATGACCACGGAATACATTGTCACTACCATCAATGCAGCTGACCTCATCCAAGCTGGATGACCCACGTTGACCTCATCAACACTACCTGACCCTGCGTGACCTCATCAAAGCTGGACGCCCCATGGAGCCCTGAAGGCTTGCGACAGGCCTTAAGAAAACAGCCCATCCATTATGGTGCCAAGAGCACTGTAAACATGGACCATCAAGGCCAGCCATCCTCACTGTCATGCCCAATTTCTCCAACCCCCCCTCCCACCTCCTCCATCCAAATCTACCCACTGGACAATGGGGCTGCTGAACCTCCAACCCTCCCAGCCACAATGTCCGCCCACGTTGGCTGGCAGCAGCGACAAAAGGGGTGTGGGGGGGTTGATGCCGGATGGGGAGGCCTGCTGCAGGATGGGACTCTTATTGAGTGTTTGAGCGATGAGCCAGGTCATCACATCTAGCCACCTCATCCATCATGCCACACAAATGGACACAAATAAAGAGGACACATTCCTGCCTCTGCTCCCACTACCACATTCAAGCCCTCTCTAGGTTTTTTTTTTAATTTTTTTTTTTTGTGTTTGTGTCCTTCTTGCCATGTGAGCCAATAAGGCCTCGAGGAGAAATAAGAGGAACAGAGTTCAGGCTCTCCATCGCTCTTGGAGGCCATGGGAGCGCCAGAGGAAACTGCCAGGTGGTGTTCCGACTCTTGTCTCTCGGTAAAAAGTCACAATTTGGGGCCAGAATGATGGGCAGCCAGCGGGGACTATCGTGACGAGGTGGGAGGGACGTGGGAGACAAAGGAAGTGATTTCAACGTTTTAGGTTGAAGTAAAGTGAGAAGAGAAAACATGTCAATCCACATTGTAGTCTTTTATTTCTCTTAGTTGTTCCTCCCACAGTATTGAATTGAAATGCATAACAGTTACATTGTAGAAAGCATTAAAACAAAGTACCTCAACTTGCTGATTACTTTTTAAAATCGATTATAAACAAAACAAAGACAAACAGGAAATCTGGTCCCTCAAAATGGGAGAATGACTGAAAGGATTCTGTTATTTATCATCGGTTTGGCACAAGGGATTAACATGAACCGAACATCTCACAAGCTTGCAGACAATTGTAAAAAATAAAAAAAAAGTCAGATACAGATCTTAGCAGACCAATCATGCGCTTATGATAAACCACACCTCTTTTTTATTATTCATTCTTTAAAACGCGTTTGATTTTTTTTTTAGATTTTTACAAGTGAATCATTAAATTGTCATAGAAAAAAATCCCTAATATCTAACCATTGACCAGTTTCATTAGTAGAATAAAGAGTGAATTGAATGTTTAATACTATCCGGCACTCAAAATGTAATCTACAAACCCCATTGATCTCTGGGACATCGGCCCGGTCAGGAAAGTCCACCTTCACCAGGGCTAAGAGCAGTGCTATTCAGTAAACAAACTACAGTTTGCCATGAAATAAATACAATTATCAAAATACAACAGCAAATAACAACAACAACACCAACCAAATAAGAAAAAGAAAACAAATGATTGTCTAAAACCGAAAGACACGAGGCATGGAGTAGCTAACGACTAGCATTCAGGCTATTTTAGTGGTATTGTTGTTGGACTAGGATGGATTCAAGGATTTATTTTTATGGGGGAAAAAAGACATATGCCCTTTACAGAACAGCAATAAACTTCAGCACTAGTGACTTATCTCAGTAAATAACAAAAACAGATTTTTTTCTTCTTTCACTAGAAAAAGATGATTTATTTATATCCTTTCACAGACGCCACAGGTGGGCGGGATGGAGAGCGGTTTGAATCTAGTGTACAGTGTTATGATTGTTTAGACACACACAGAATATGAGAAACTGGCTTGACTTCAGCCGAATCGTTTTTCATCAGTTCTCTGATGAGTGGAGCGGGTTACTCACGCAGCCTTTTGTTCTGATCACCAAGTACATTTATTTCTAAGGAACATCCGAGGATTTTGGGGATTCTTGTTCTGGTTCTTATGCTTTCACGTGGACCGACTCCCTGCTAGGCTGAAACGAGCTGTCAGACTGGAAAGCTCTCCTCGCATGTCTGGGATGTTTGAATCGGCCCTCCTTCTCTATCAGCTGCCCTTGATGTGCAAAACATAGAAATTTGGAAGATTAATAAATACATGTATTATTATTACTTTTGCATTTTCGAATTTCTGTATCCGCTGGAGTTTTTTTTTTAAGGAGGCCGGGTTCTGTGTGTGCAGTGACCCTGCTGTGTGTTTAAGGCAGTCCGATGGGCCATGGTTCTGCTAAGCAGTCACTCTGTGGACAATCGGAGGCCCCTTGCTGATAGCGCCCCTCCTCTTCCATGATGAATTCCTGGTGCCACATGAAGGTCAGGGGTTGGAGGTGAAGTAGTTGATGCAATGGGGTGTCATCATCATACATGGCTGAAGGACTGGATTGCGCTGGATTCTGCAGCTGCCCGGGCCAGACTGTGCCACATGGTCGCTGGAGTGTGTGTGGCTGAGTGAAGAGAGTCCTTTTCAGCCAGAGACAGCATCATGGCATACGCCTGAAGGAAAACGGATGATACGTTACAGCCTAAAGCACAAAGACACCTCAGTACCAAGGAGTGGATATGAAGAGTCAACCTTGCTTACTTGAGACTTGGATTTCCTAAAGAGTGGCTGTTTGACAGCTTCAAGTGAAGGAGAACCAAATGCTCCATCATCTTCGTCTCCATCACTCAGCTCACTCTCCTCCAGCTTGCGCAGGTCAGCAAACCGATGGATACGATCCAAGGCCGAGTAGCTGTTCTGCTCCTCCTCTTCATCCTTATACCTGAGAGTGATGCAAAATCATTTTAATCCCAACATCAGACTTCTTGATCTCATGCTCACACGGAATATTTAGATCCCTTGAGTCACATTTACCTCCTTGGAGATGTTTTACAGCTGAGATTTAAGTCGCTCAGCTCACTGAAGTCCATTTCGTCCTGGATGATGTCATCACTCAGGCTGCTAGGATGCAAATTGCTTTCTCTTTTCTCAGAACTAGGCTCCTCTGCTTCTTCATCGTCTGCTTCTAGGTCTTCCACTTCTTCATCTTCCAGGTCCTGCAACCCGTGGCTGGCCATCAGTGGTTTCCCATCTTCTAATGGACCTCCGTTCAGCCTGTAAACCAGGAACACAGCTCGACATTAGGGAGAACCATGAATTGAAATGAAGCCTAATTTGGTGCATTTGTTCTAGTTTTATTAAAAACTGTGCGAGATATGAGATGAATAAAGTAAGAGGTGGTGGATTTGAAGCAGTTTGTGGCCGCTGCAAATGAGCAGAGCCGGAATCTCGTTTGTCATCAAGACTCTGGGGCCCCTTTTGGGAACAGCAGCACAGAGTTGATCATCACAGCACTTAAATGGAGTGCTGTGCCTCTCTCTTTGTTTATTTTCCTTACTATCTCGTATTTATCTAATAGGCAAAATATTTAGCTGACAGCCCCATTTGGTGGGAGAGTTATGAGAGCGCTGCCAACCGACTCATTCTTCCATCCCTGCGGAGGGAGTGAGGGCCAGCTATCCAAACTGCCCGTGTCTTAATCTGTCCCTCTGTCTCTGCGCTACAGGAAACCACCATTTGTTAAATCATCTGGAACCACATTAAGACTGATTCACTAATTACACTCTGGGACATCTTTCGTCAGCTCACAAAAATTCCGTTCTTGCACAAAAGATTCAAAGAAAGCGACTGAGAGAAAAAAAAGGCAGAAATTGAACAGAACTTTTAATACCAACACTGTGTAATCATAGACAAAATCTCTGGATTTAGGTGTGAAGGTGGTCCAGATTAAAAGAATGGAGAAAAAAAAGGGAAATTCATTGTTTATCTGCAGCTGATAATGCTTGGCTTTCGACCGAGCTCCTGCTGGAACGAGGAGTTGACAAGATGGTGTTCATGGCGTGTCAAGCTCGCACGGCTGTAAGGTGGAGCCAGCTCCAAAAAAGAGAACGAGCGAGAACTCTGTGATTAAGAAAACAGATTTGCTAATTACGCTTTCAAACGTGGTAATTTGCTGAGGATAAAGTATCTATCAGGAGCAGTCAGGAGCGCTGCACTTTGAAAGGAAACACAGGCCGACCCTTTGACCCCACCCCCTCTACCCTCTTCCTGTAGGCAGACATGTTGGTTCCAGATGTGGTCTGACTGCTGCATCCCCCTCCCACCACCTCCCACTCTGCTCTCGACCCTCTGACAATCCACCGACCCGCCTCGCTCTCGCAGGCCTTCAGCCCAATCTGCGGATATTTACTAATCTGTCCTGTGACTGGAACTACGTGGGCACAAGAAGCAAAACTAGAGAGCTCTTAACTGTTATCTGATCTGACCGCAACCGCAAGAGTTTATATGCACTAAGATAAGTTTTACTATGTGTGGCCGAAGGGTAATTCATATAAAAGTTTCCTCGTTGGTTCCAAAACCTTTGAGTTCATCATCACAGATGATCTGATTATTAACAGAAACTGGATGGGTGGCGAAAAATTTAGGAAAAAAAGCATGAAAATTTTAACGCAGTTCGATAATAAACCTAAAAAAGTCTACTAATAGTTTCTGACGAATCAGATCCTAACTTTTTGCTTTAGAAAGGTCATTTGATGAGCTCACCGTTCCTCAGAATGACCCGGTGAGGTGTGGTTCTGTCCTGCGTTGCTGATGAAGTTTCTTATTTCGTTAAAGTAGGAGTCCTCTTTGTCGTCCAATATGGCGCTGCCGCTGTCCAGCTCAGACTGTGGCGATGACATCGCAGTTCCTATAAAATAACAGAGGAACAAAAATTGTTTCACTGTTTGATTGTGATGTTTGATTGTTTTCTTCCAGCTGAAAATAGAGCAAAGTCGTTTTATGACTATATCACTGTGAACAAGTTTAAAGATGTGGTTAACTGGAAAAAAACAACATTTTTTAATGATTATTTGTGATTATAATCAGTCACTCTGAGTTTTTCTTGGAGGCTGAACATGAAAACAGTCTTCTACACCTATATCCTGCGTTAGCTTCCGATAGAAAATAGATGGTGAAATGCTAGGATTTGAAAATCCTCACATATCTATGCCTCAGCGTGAATTTGCTTTCATGGCTCGCACCCGCCTGCAGGAAAGCTTTTTCAAATACTTTTGCAGCGAGGAGAGAGAGCGGAGAGTGTCTTGGTGATAGTGACTTTGCAACATGGCTGAACACGTTTCGTTATCCAATCAGAAGCGAGGCGTTTGCATATGATTAATGATAATGAGCAATCCTGCTGTTTTCATCTCAGAAGAGGAGCATCATAGCTTTTTTAATGACTCATAATGTATTGATTTACACTAGAGAACACTGCAAATGTACTGAATAAATGAGTAAACCACACCTTTAACACCAAGTAGGCAGTAGCTGTGATCTTTAAAAGATATTCTTGACCAAAAGTTCTTCTCATTTGTTGAAGAATGAAGGACAAAACTGTTTGCGTTCTAAAGTCTCTGGAATATTTAAACACATTAGTTCATACACTATCGTGAACCGGATACGTGACTGTAATGGTGGCAGGATACCACAGAAAAGCGCTACGCCCCCTGTTGGCTGGCGGGGAATTCCTTTGCAACATTCCCCAGGTGACGGAGAAGTCCGAGAGCAAAACATCTCTGTCAATGTGTGTGCATCTCTCCCAGCGGGCCTGATGGGGAAGTAGAGATCAGGCTTAAATCAAATGATAACGTTTTTTTTTTTCAGTTATTCTTTATATTTCTGTCAAATAGAAGTCTGATCTGCTCACATTACGTGGTGTGTTTGCTGATTAGGGTGTCATGATGATCACAAACCAGCACCTGTAGTCTGAACCTCCTTTTATCAGCTTTGTCATTTTAACATTTTAACCACATTGCATAGAAAGTTAAACAGGATATTGCTGCTCCACCTGTACTTAAAGTAAGATTCATAAAATATTTCAAGGGAGTAAAGCTTTTGTTTTCTTGAGGAAAGCTCATTTTTCTCACATACTTTTCATTTCTGATGCGGAAACAAAAATCTTTGCTGATAACGGCATTTTTGTTTGATAAAGTGCGCGTTGTGTACGATGAAGTGTCAGCCGCCTCTGCTGCTTTTGGCTTCTGTCCACTTGTTCTGCTGATTCAGTCAGAGTGATGCAACCTATCAAACCTGTGAGCTGTGCTGCTGATGAAAGCAACTCATTCCAAACCAAATATTTTCAGCCACTGCAGAGGTCGATGGCAGATTTATATCATTTAATTTCTCAGCCTCCTGATTGTCTCAAATCAAGAGTAAATTATGTTTTACGATAAGGATTTATGCACCTCACAAGTCAGCAAACTGCCTCTCATTTTCTCTGATAAAATGCACCATTGGACAAGACTTCCACAATCTTTACGGCTCACTCCTCACCTGACAGATTGCCGTTCTCGTGCTTTTTAAGGTGACGGTCGAGGTTGGTCTGCTGACCGAAGCAGCGGTCGCACAGGTGGCACTTGAAGGGCTTCTCCTTGTTGTGGATGTTACGAATGTGCCGTTGCAGGTTGGACGAGATACTGAAGGAGCGGTCGCAGTATTTACACCTGCAGAGAGAGCAGATTCCATAAAGGTGCATGAAGTAGACACCCTGTGGTCAAATTTGGTTACTGCAGCCCATTTTTATAAACAAAAGGGACTTTCTCACTACTGTTTAGTGAGTTTCATGGCTGTTGCCAGTTACGGGTCAGCATTAGAAGATTCTGGGTGACGATGATGAGTCATGAACAGGAAGTTGATAAGTAGATTAAAAAATTTCACTGTAAAAAAAGTAGCTTGAAACATTTTTTAGAGCCGATTTTCTAATTCACCCTTGGCAATGTTAGCTCAATGTTAGCCTCTACACCTAACCCTGATATTAGAGTAAAACAAAAAGATGCTGCAGCTTTTTAGGGGTACAAGAAATAACTTCTAGGTTGTTCCTTTTTGCTAGCTAAAATGTTTTCAGAAGTCTGGTGTCAAATTACAAATACCGGCACAGACGTATACCCTGTGGGCTTAAATATGATTGGCTCTGGAACCAGGAAGTATGGAGGCAGGACAGATTGTAAACTAGGCCCTTTTTGGCTTTTTTAAAAGGAGAAAAACAAACAACTCCCAGATGGCTGTAAATGAAAACTGTTTTAATGCAATCTTCCTTCTAACATGACTGAGACTTTAGACTGTTGTGATTATTTTACTGTAAAATTCTTACAAATTGTAGCTTTAAAGTATGGAGTCACTATAGTTACAAGTCATAACTGCACTGCACAATGAAACAGAACCCATGATTTGTTCTTTTGGATAACTTTATGGGATACATAACACACACACACACACACACACACACACTCATTCGGATGGTCCCAGCAGACCTACAGTCTCAGACATGATGGAGGAGCTTGTTTAAGGTGAAACAGCTTTGCCTCTCATCTCCGGCCAGCACAATAAAATTGCATTCTTCTCTCACAAAATAAGCACGCAACAGTTTTGGTTCAGACCCTGCAAAATTAGGAGCTCCTGCCAAGTTTCTCCACGCAAAATTATACGAGAAGATTGCATCTTTTCTTTTGGTGGAATTAGCTCGCTCGATTGGCTATCCCTCAGGAACACTCCTGGTTATCTCCACAAGAATAGGAAAAAAAAAGAAGAAAAAACTACATTAAACAGCGGCAATCTTTAATGACATGCCAGTTTGTGGAGAGCAGGATTTCAGGTTGGGGTTGGAGAGGTCTGAATCTGTCTTTGTCACTGTACCCCTGTGGTCTGCAGACCTCCTCTAAACTTTGAGCCAGCATTCCTCCACCTTGGTAACTACAAAGCTGAGAGGGTATAATCATTATTTCAATACACTTATTTAACAAGATGAATATCTACATGCACACTGAAATGCTAATGCGTGGTTGCTGATGATTTTGACCCTTGTCTAAAAGTTTGAAAAACACAAATATTTAAAGAAAACTGTCTGGTCTCATAATTGCAGCTGCTGAGTCAGAACATCCTCAAACTTCCTTCCTGCTGCTCCCACCAGCTCATTCTGTCACCCAAATGAGGATAATAATTATAATTTAGAAATAGGATGATTATTTGTGGCAAAAATACAACTTTTGTTCCACATTTTCTGCTTTGCTTCACAGTTTGTTCCTAACTAGACAATAGCTTTACCTGTATGGTTGTTCTCCAGTATGAGTTCTGAGGTGACGAGTCAGGTTGGCAGAACGAGGGAAGATTTTTCCACAGTATCTTTAAAAATAAGAAAAAAATAAGCTTTTAAAAGTGGTTTATTAAAGTGCTGCATAAAGATGGGTAATCGCTTTCTGCAATGGTTCGT